ATGGCTATTGTGAGGATTACTACTTTATATGAACTGGATTGGACTGTAACTTCAATTTTGAATAGTTAAAGGTTTCTGTTTTTTTGTACTTAATTGTTTGTGTTACTTTAGGTCATATTTTAGTTTCACACGTTAGCTCACATTTCTGCTTGCAACAAATGTTGTCACAAAAAAAAAGAAGTTTATTCACAATAGAGACTTATTCTTACCTTCATTTCATCACTATTTACCCGGGTAGATGATTTGTAAATGCAGTTTTGGCAGTTCGCTTGATTTTTTCTTATAGGTATATGTACTTTCCCCTTAATTTTTATGATTGATCTCTTTTGTTTGGCATGTGGGCTTCCATGTGGATACCTCAGTATTGCCCGAAGACTAATTAACAACTGAAGCGATGTTTATTGTGTTCGAGTCTCAGTGGGAGTATCATCACTAACTGCAATGGAAGCATATTCGGCTGACAAGTTCTTAGTTGTACGAAACTTGCATCCTGGATTCCACTACTAGCCACCACCAATCAACTTACGTCTTAGTTTGTATTTTACATTTAGTCAATGTTAAAGATGAATTTTTCCACTGTTTCATCACTCACACGAATTCTTCTCTTTGATATCATTTCAAAATATTTGATTAATCTTTCTGTGCTATCATAACGTATGGCAGTTGAAACAAATGTAGTTTTGCAAAAGGTTCTACCTTGTCCATTTGTTCATGATAGCGGTTAGTTTCGAGTTCACATGGCTTTTTAAACTTGGAAGAACATAGTTCGCTTGAACTTCCTGTTTCTAAACAGATTCTTTTGATGATTAAAGAGATGTTTAGCTCAGGCTAAGAATGCTGATGGCTTGGTTATTGTCTGAGTTATGATATTTCGTCGTGGACTTTTCATAAAAGCCCGATGAACACCAAATTACCAACAGATTTATGTGATGCATCTATAAATTTACTGCGGGTTTGTTTGTTACTGGTTAAAGTTCCTAAAATACTCCACTTCAGTGATACTTATTATTTAACCCAGTTAAAAAAAATTTCTTTACTAAATTTCATTTTATACTATTTAAATATAATTTTTCATGTAGTTTTTACGCGTTACTTTCATTTCAGTTAGGTATCCGTCAAAGTTATTCAATAACATATCATGGAATAGCTATAAATTGTACTACAGAGCCACTGTTATGGCTCAGACAAATAATACCTTGTGGTTTAGCTGACCGAGACGTTGCCTGCTTGAGTGAAGCTTGTGGCAGACAATGTACACCTAAGGAAGTGGCACCGAAAATCTCTGATTGCATTGTTTCAAGTTTGTTTACCTCAAAGACACTTGCAAGATTTAGTGTCAATTATCAGTATCGAAATGATTTGGAAGGCAATTGGTGTATATCAGCCCGTGACAGCAACAGTAACTGCGAAGATTCTCGGCAGGCATATGGAGTCGACAAATCCTGGTCTCAAGCAGTTGATGAAATTCTTTCCTGCTTACAGTTATGTTTTACCAGTTGTACGGTTGATAATTTGATAATTAATAATAAATAGTTAAGTGTATGAAATGTGTTGTTAAATGGATTCATTTCTTCTAGATATTCTCTCCAGTCTTCATAACTTCTCATATATTGCGATTATAGTCAATTTTCCCAATGAATATCTTGGCGTTCATTGATTATAATACGAAGATGATTAAAAATCCTAGCTATAACCTCTGGATTACTTCAAGTATGAGGATTTTACAAACGTTTTGGGATGGTTATTCATCCCTATGGGTAGCTATACATCTAGATGTTGCTACTTTTTGTAAATGCAAAAGCATCGAGCGATTGCATAAAGCATAACTGTACTGCACCAAATCATCTTTTTTTAGAGTATTTCGTTGGTCATATGACCCCAAAACTAATTTTTGGGCAGCAATTTCTTAGTACTATAATTTTCCTTAGATGAATTCTTTTGCTTAGCTAGCAACTTCACTGGATATTTATTGCTACTACTTATTCGATCATTAGCAATCTTGAACTCCTCATCAAAAGTATCATCTGAACAAATAACTCTCGGTTGTTGAACTAAACTGGCTGGCATAGGGTCAGTCATGTTGAGCGTATGATTGATCAAGTCTTCTGTCGAATTTACGAACATCATGTCATGGTTAAGCAAAAGAAGAAGAAGACCAGTGCAAACCTCCATACTCTCTCATCTGATTAATACTGGAAACTGAGGTGTTGATAGTAATTTCAAAGTCATTTACCACATTCCTCCTAACCTCACTTATACTATACGAATTTATCTTCTGTATGTGTTACGTGCCATAAGGATTCACCTAAGTAAGCCATACCTGTGGTCACAGAAGAAATTCTCATGACCTTCTTTTTTGCTTTCGGTGTGTGGAAATGACTCTCCCTTATCTAACAAACTATTACCATTATTAACAGTGCAGTTGTTATTCTTGTTAGTTTCAACTATCTGATTCTTCTCTCTTTGCTTCTATTTATTCTTACGTAATTACTGTCAACAACTGATCATTCATTCTCTTTGTTAATCATTGTAGTTCAATTACGCAACAAAAACTTCAGCAAGTGTACCATGTAATCATTGTGTTCGTTAACTGCTCTCTTAATTTGCTAGATTAATCGCCACCTTCTGGTACCTTGAGAGTGATAATCTTTTAGTAACTAACTTGTTACCACCAGATTGGTATGTTACTCTGTATTAGTGTAGCATCGTTGATGAAAAGCTTGTTGAAAAAAGTATTTCTTCACTTAAACTGTTTCTTAACTTCTATCTAAATGTGAATTTTTGGCGGAGTACCGTACATCTTATTCTACAAACCTAAAGTGTTTGATATAAATATAACGATATTCTGAAGCCTGTAAATTTATGTCAGTTAACTGATTGTCCCATTAAATGAAAAAGTTCAGCTTCAGAGATTAAAGTAATGATAGAATCATGTTCACTGAGTCAGATTTGTGTTAGGAAGTTTCGTATAACTGAGTGAACCTATGATTCTTTGGTCAAAGCAATTGACTTTCAATCAGTGGGTCATGCGTTCGCGCACCACTCCACCTATTGAGGTTTGGTCAGCTAGGTAGTATCATTAGCTCCGACACAAAGGATGTGGCTCATTTCCTACTTCAAAAACGTGTATAGGGTTGCTGAGTACGTTACTTTTCGTTTTCTTTTTGCACAAGTGACACGAGTTGTCTGAAAACGTTAGATGTGATATAATGTGAACCGAATATTGGAAAACGCTTATTAGTTGATTGAAATGATGAGAAGGGGTTGATTACTTATAAAACCTGCACTGTCGACACCAATACTCAGTCAAACGGATTTTAGAGGACAAATTAATGGTCAGCGAGATTTGTCATTTAGTGATAAAGTGTGATATAATCCTAAGACAGATAAACAAAATCAACGTAGAACCTCTCACACAAGTACATCGGTCCAATTTTGTTACACTTCACAGTAGTACCCAAAAGGGAATCAGTTATCTGGAGCAAATAAGGCACCAGACACCGGTAGAGTTTTACCATATTAATTAAAAGATGGTAACCAAAAATCAGATATGATTTTTCTGAGATTTGTCTTACTAACATATTGTCACGATACTCCGGAAAAAAGAGACATCCTCTTGTGATAACCACATGGATATCAGTCTGATGACGATTGAGTCATATTCTAAAAACAGGCAAGTTCTAGACCTTGTCTTGTGACCGAACCTTCATCTTTCACCAGTTCCTAGATCACAGTCACTTACAGCACCTGATACCGGCTTTATTTGCTCGAGGTGATGGTGGAATTAATAATTATTGTTCGAGAGGTCTTATAGTCGCTGTAATGAGTGATAGGTAATTACATCATTGTATTGAAGGTTCTTTACTCGGCCATCCAAGGGTGTTAGAGCCTGTGGTGAGTTGTGTGAGTGGAGTGGTGTCTGTCAAGGATTTCGTCTCCCCATATTCTTGTTTAATTTTGTCATAGACTTGCTTGTCAAGGTCTCCCTCTCCTTGTCTGAATTCACAGAGGTTGGTCTTGCTACACGAAACCACTTGCTAGATCCATAGTACACAGTTGGCATAGTCCTGTTAAGTGAAGATGCCGGATGCCATGAGTGGCAATTTAAAAATGTTTCGGTGCGTTTCTTGCCACCTAAATGCAGACTGTTGCTGAGGGAATGATTTTTGCTGGTGCCTTATTTAAAAAGAGTTAGTAAAGTGGTTGTGCACGTTGACAACTTCGCCTACTTGGGAATCCAGGTCAGCTGTAGTGTGTTAATGACCGACGGAATCTCTACACAGATTCAAAAGGCTTGATTGTCTTCTGGCAACTTCCACCACTCGTTTGGTTACCATGATATCCGATTGGGTACTAAGGGTAGAGTGCACTGCATTGTAGTTCGCCGAGTCGTACTATATAGTGTGACATCTGGCTATTTAAGGGAGACGACATGAGGTTTTATGTGTTTGATCCCCTCTACCTATTTAATATAAGCCATGGTGTGATGCCATAACATCAGTAAAGTGAACATCAAGTGTAGATTTTCAGGCGTAAGGGGGAAGTTACCTGATGATGATATTGTGAAGCTACATGGACTGATGTAGCTGGGATATGTGTTCCGCATCCCTAGTCAGCTTCCACCTCGCCACTGAAGTAGTTTCAGGCTGGGAAAAGTTTGGCGGTGGCCTAATTAAAACATGGCATTAACCTACGCAGTCTTTGACTGTTAGTCTATGCTGCGTGGATAAATGTAGACTTCCTGGTTAGATTTGCATAATTCTGGAATTATAGACTGGAGGTAGTAGGTGATATGGTTCAGGGTCGATCTCAACAGTGCAGTTGTATCCACACATTTTACACATCTTAATCGTCATACTGAATTCTGTTATTCTCATTCCTCCTTGGTCTCTTTTGATGAATTTGTAGTACCTTTGACTGCCTTCTTTACTGGTTTATCTTTCATCTTAGTGCGTTCTCGCTTGATGGGCTGATACGAAATGTGGCAGTATTATGCAGTAATTCAACCTCCCATTTCAGTATCGCTTGTCTGTCGTCTTGACGCGGTGATCAGGTTCGCATATCATAGTGGTTCAAAGAACTGTATTGGTTGGAACTGTTGTTCCTACAGGTCCTATTGAGAGTTTCATGTGATGTCTGAGAGGGGAGAGAAGAACCGTAGCTCTCGTATACATTAATATTGCTTTAACCAGTCTGATAATTTACTTATGGTGTTCGAAGAGTACGAAGGATTTTATTTGCTCTCCTGGTTATTGAAGGCATAGATGTATTCGAAGTCTTTGGTTTCATCTCCACACTGGACATAATTAGAATGCTTGTTTGAAATCACTGCAAAACACAGAATTACTTATTACTTAATTGGTGGTAGGTTATGGGGGTGGATGGGTTCTCTGCTTGGCTGACTTTATGGGGGATTTCTTTTAGAGGTAGAAGTCTTGTTAATGCATGAGTGCAAAGCACTTGAATTTTTGCAGAAAACGTGATTAGAACTTCAAAATAGAAAAAGTATATTTGTGATGTTCCAGATAAACGGAGAAGTAGGCCTTAGCAATATACAAACAACTTACGTTGAAAGCAATTTCTTAGCCAATTAGAATTTCTAAAATATCTCATGTTCATTGACTTTTGGGATTCCGTATATACTCAGTGAAAGGTTACGTAAGTGTACGTACTCACCAATGTCCGGTGTCAGTCGACTTAAAGTTTTCAATCGTTGATGATATTTTGATTTGCTTTATCTTTTCCTGAAAAAGTGGCTTCCATGAGGATTTGACACGTTGAAAATGTATACTCGTTTGCTTCACTAATGACCTACCTAACTTTCAGCACTATTAGTACACTACAGGGTGAATATTGTGATGCAATGTAATGTACAGATTCACTTCTTTGTTGTCGATTAGGTAAGGTTTCTAGAGGGTTAACTAGCATTGATGCAAAAAATTCAAACACTTGGCGGAGTAGTTGTAATTTCTTATAACTAGGTTACATATTTTCAAATCAGTTTATCCTACCTATTGGTATTATAGAGAGGAAGGGTTTCATCCTTGTTCCGTAACTTCTTATAAGATCTCCAGTGGGTTAGTGTATCCTCTAACTAGATAAGGTACATCAAAAGCTTCTGTCCACAGAAAGCTTCATAGTTCTGATTAGTACGGATTTAGACCTAAGCGCTGACTAGAGCAGCATGTCGAGGGAATTTTGTGTTTGTGCAAACTTCAGTATTCAAGAAAATATGCGGTGGTAGTACCATGACCAACCAACTTTGATTTACTAAGAAAGTAATATATCCAGTTCACCTCACTGGTAATATGTGCTCAATGGTTTCAATAATTTTGTAGATTGACTAAGTTTGTGGAATTTGATTTACTGAATTTCACTTCAGTGACTTAGCGGTGATGCGTTTACGAGGAGACTTAGCTGTTTTGAATTACATCAAGAATGTTCGCTGTAGAAATGTCACGAACAGAGAAGAAATAGTTGTCCATTACCTTTTACCTTTCATTTGGTTGTTAATGGATGAAAACCATGTTGATTTCAGTTGAATCTCTGTAAATTATTCAAATGAAAAGTGTAACTTGTTAAAACTCATGTAGTAGCAAACAGCTAGCTTCAATCTATTATTTGATGTTTCAGTTGGTTGATGAAGTCAAAGGCATGCCTCCTGGCCATCTGATTATATGAACATGACAGTCAACAGTCATCTGATATGTAATCAATAATAAATACAGGAGTGTCTATAATTTCCTAGTTTTCTTTATCAAAGAGCATCACATTTCACTGGTTGATTTTGGACGTTTTACTTCTAACCATTTTTTAAACGTCACCAGAGATGAAAAATCTGTCAATAAATCAATATCGTCAGTAATTTTAAAATCATGACAACATTTTAACACTATCTGATAAATCATTTCAAGTAAAATACCCTAGTTAGTTAGTCATAAATTACCAATATTTCTTCTCCAACTTTGTTGCGTATTCAGTGAACAGTTTAGGATTTTTAGAAAAATATTTGCCTTATTTTTGTCATTTAAATGGGTCACTGAAATGCAGGCTTAATAGTTCCTTGTTTCACACACTGAGAAGAGTAAGCGGTTTTGAATTAAGAAGTTTTATTTCGGAATTGCTTATAAACTGATAATTTATTGGATAATGCACAGCCTTTATTTATATATGTATATATTTCATTTCGTTTTGGTTTAAATTTGAAACTACTGGTAGGTGTGCAAGTAGTATAAATTATAAGTATAAATTTGTTCTGTGTTCTGTATCTTTTCATTAATGTATAACTAGTGAAAGTGGTTTTTTCCAAGTACACAAGTTATATCTCTTAAATTTGAGATCAAAGTCGAATTGTTACCTCATAACCACATGGTTGAAGCAGATTTTAGTTGATCGGTTGTAATCGCTTAGAGGCCCTACCGATCACTTCTTACCAAATAAAATCCATAAAAGTACACTGTTTGCTGGCCACATTTCAAAGTGATGGATGGAATCTGATCAGCACTCAGCATTAGACGACATGAAATTGATTGCTCTTCACTCAAAAATAAATGTAGATGGTTGTTATATTGACAGACAGATGATTTGTCTTGTGTCGATGATTACTGCAGCATCTGA